CATTTCCTTATTCGAACAACTCAACTTCGAATGGGCATATCTTACTCAAACCAACTCGGAATCGCGCAAACTCGGCGTCGTTGGAAAGATTATTCCAAGATCTTTACTAAGATATCTGGAAACACACCTAACAGATCCTGAGCTAGAATTTATGGTTGTTTAAAGTTGACCAAAACTCAACTTTAACACACTTGAAAATTTCCAGACTTTCTTTATACTTTCCAAAAATGACTATTTCCTCTTTTAAATTCCTTTTTAGTTGTTTCTAGTTACGGGGTGTTGCATCAATAGCACTATTTAAATAATATTTGATAATTATAGGTGTAACACCCGGACTTTTTAAAACGTCTAAATTAACACGTATTTTCGTGGAAAGATAAGGAGGGTGAGTAATAAATTAAGAATGATATGGTATGTCATATTTTAAGTGTTCAAGGGTTGTATCTCAAGTTTTGAAGTAAGGTAAGTCGCAAAATAAAAGTGGGCGAAAGTTATCGTAAGTTCCTTTTTAAAGATTTCTCTGAAATTTGGGTCAAATGTATTGGATGTTTTCTCCCAATATAAAAAGAGTTAGAAGGCCTATTACCTATTAAATCGAATGCCTACGAGTCTTTGCAACGCATAAAACCCCGTATCAAACCGACATCAGAGTAAAACGTTATGAGCATTTTACTAGGGACTGCCGAGCCAGAATTCGGATCGGGTAAAAAATATGGTATGTCGGCTTACTTAATGTTTTAAGCCATGAAAACATTTCATTTTAGTTCCAAACCAGAGAGAAAGCTCAAGAGAGGGTTCATATGTAGTCCTAGCATGATTAAGGTTAGTTTTTGACGATTTCTACCATTAAACATTGCTCCCGTGCCTAGAAACATAATCCATACACGTGGCAATCGGTTTTCTCTTCTATTAGGTGCATTTGGAGTTGATTTTTGAAGATATAAATTTGTAGTTATTGGTGTTTCTTCAAGGTTTAAACTTGGTTAACTAAGGTAATCATCTCAGGACTCTTTTATGATTGTTTTTATGAATTTCTACGGACGTTTCGACATGTTGGGGTAATATGGCAAATCTGCCGATATAAGATTAATTATGAACTGTTTATATGTGCGTACCAGCTGTGTATATATAGTGTTTGCGAAGCTTAAGACATATGAAACAACTTTCTTGAAGGAACTACGGTCTTTCGAGCGTTCATTGGAAAGGTATGTTAAGGTTATTCCCTTCGTTCGATATGTTTCTTTAGAGGTAGTTAACGTTGGTGATCTTGTAGATGTAATTGTGAGTGGTTGACTGATTTGGTGGTTATAAACCCTCATTTTAGGAACTCACGATTTGTTAAGAAAGACCCTAAGTTAGGAACGACTTGCAGATTATTCATACATATTGTTTATAGCTAAATTACTCGCCTTCAGCCTATTTAATTATTTGTTGTCGCCCTTGGGCTATTGTGTTTAGTTGTTGAGCTATGAATTGCCTATGGGGGCTATGATGTTGTCTAATAGGACTATGTTATTGCCAAAGAGGGCTATGTGTTGCCCACGGGGCTATATTGATGCCAAAGAGTGTTATGTGTTGCCTACGAGGCTATTTTGATGCCAAAGTGGGCTATGTATTGCCTACAAGGCTATTCGATACAAAAAAGGGTTACGTGCAGCCCACAGATCTATGATGTTGGCTAAGAGGGCTATGCGCTGCCTACGGAGTTATATCGTTGCCAAAAAGGGCTATGTGACTTCTTACAAAAACAGAGGGCTACCGATAAGGTTATATAGATTGATTTGGCTCCTTTTGGGCTTATGAGGGCCTAAGTAGGTGGTATGTTGTTTGTACCTACCGAGCTTATGGGGGCTTGGTTAGGTTGATGTTTGATCATTATTGTATTTTATTAGATTCAGTAGGTTGGCATGCTTATCTAAATTTGATTTCCTTACTTGATTGCTTTTGGTATATTATGATGCTTGCTCATTTAGTCTACAGCCTTTCATACTCTGTACATTATTTTGTACTGACGCCCCATTGCCTGGGGGAGCTGCATTCATGCATGCATGTCCTGACAGACGACCGAGTAGACCTTCTCAGTAGCAGGATTGATTTCTATCTGGTTGGCAAGCCCCTTTCCTCTGGAGCTGCTAGAGTTTGGAGGTTTGTTAGCTTTTGTTGTGTATATTTTTATGGGTAGGCTGGGGCCCTGTCCCGTCAATCTTTACTACTCATAGAGGCTGGCAGACTAGTGTGTGGGGTGTATAGCTATGTTATGGCCATAATGGCCTATGTTGTTGGTTTGCTGAAGCTTGTGAGCTGTTTGATGTATTGTATTGACATATATCTGCTTTTAGTTTTGGTATAGATATTATGATGGCCTAGACGGCCCAATCAGAACTTCTGTGCTAGTTGGCCACTTATTTATATGATCTCCTGGGAGTAGTTATTTCTTTTATAGATCAGTTGACAGGAGCCTTGACGGCCGAGGGCTTAGTTTTAAGTTGAGATATACTTGTTTGTTTTCTTGATTGCGTGTGACTGCCATGCGCTAGTAGCAAATGGTTCAACAGGGTTGGCTCGGGCCTGAGTTTTGGCATTAGGAGCCAGTTGCTCCCCTCGAGTTTGGGGGGTGACAATAGGCATAAAATTTAATTTTTATTTTAAAATGTTTTGGATGTAAAAAATTTAAGCTTACTCACACTTTATATAAACAAGGAAATCTTTCAATTAAGAAAAGTATGTTCGCATGATATTTAGAGAAAAAAAAAATTCTAAACTTATTAGGTAACATTAGAAACAAAAAAAATCCTTAAAAATGATTAGTTATCATACTACTAAAAAGAAAGACAAATGTTGTAATGTTATAAAGACGATTGTGACTGTTATAGATAGAAAACATTATAAAGAGATAAAATATTTTTTTAAAAGCGATTTGAAAAAAAATTTTGGTTGTTTAGTAAGGTATCATTGTTTCAGAGAGGTTAGGTTTGTTTCTAAGATCTGCATACTACGTATATGACTATTTGTGAGTCTTTTAGAATATCTAGCACGTTAATAACCTATTACTACATATAAGTAAATAGAACATAAAAAATCAATTTCAGAATTTTTTTTTGATTGTTATAATAAAGTGTTGTATAATAATATTGTTATAGAGGGATCAACATGGGTTGTGTGTGGTGATGAAACGTTTTCATCTTCAATCAGAAATTTTAGGTTTGAGTTTTGGATATGGAAAAAATTTTGTTGGGAGCACCTCCTCCGAATAGATCCTACATTGCGCAATCTAAATTTAGTTTAAGTTTTTACACCGACTACAAACATCAGATTGGAAACAAATGTTATAGAGAGATGAATATATATATATATATATGACCTTTCATGTCAGTTTCTAAGAAATTATACCATCTTAAATTTGGTAGGAGAAAAGAAAAGAAGAAAAAATAGGGTGAAGGGGGACGGAGTGGGGGTCCAATACAGAGTCCTGGAAGAGCGGAAGAAAAGGACAGGCAAAATCTAATGGGAGATTATGGACAAGTCACATCACCAGCTTCACGCTTGCTACTCCCAAAATATAAAAGTTAAATCTGAGACTCCGCAGAAATTTGTGGAATCTGCGTTATGCTAAACACATTCACTTCGTCTTAATTTATTTGATATTATTAAATTTAAAAAATAAAAAATAAAATATTTGATTATATTGAATTCTTTTTATTAAAATTATTTTTAATTGATTTTTCTTCACAAATTAATGTTTAAGGAGGATCCAATAAGCATAAAATGGAAATGTGGTGATTAAATAATCATGGAATAAAGAAAGATGACATTTTTTTTATTGAATTAAAAAAAAAGAATATCATATAAATTGAGATATAAGTAAAGTTTCATATGCATCCATCAATATCGGCTAACATAACCACTTAAATTTCTTATTTACTCAGCATATATATGTCCTTAATTAATCACGTTTGGATCTGAACTAACCCATATTTGCTTATGTTAAAGAAATAGACCCCGAATTAAACTCAAAACTAAAAGTTAATTCTTAAAGTGACAAGCATAAGACTAAAAAAAAATACTTTGCACCCTCTCATACTCAAACTTGAATATCATGTTAAAAATAGACTTCGAACCTAACTCAAAATTTTAAAAAAATAGCTCTGTGTTAAGATTTATTCCAGGATCCCTCAAGTATTATGGTTTACTCGAGCATTCTCATTTTTGAGCCCACATATTATTATGTTCTTTAGTCCCACGTCATCAACTCACACTTCATAAAACATTTACTTATATCCTGTCTTAACACCAGACTATATTGGTTTATTTTATGATTATAGAAGAGAAAATAACAAAAGAATGTGTATATTTAATGAACCATCATTTTTGGTTTTCACTAGGGGTTTGGTATATATATTAGAGTATGATTAAATTTAGATTCGTGTCAGAAAGTCTCTCATCGGGTAAAGTATTCTGAACAAAAGACAATCACATACCAAGGAGACTCGAATCCGAGACCTTTTGATTAAGAGTGTTGAGATTAATAAGTTTATGCATAATTAGTTAGTTTAAACAGTGTTACTTTCACAGAATTAGTTAGTTAACAACTTTTGTAGTTAGTTAGCTTTCTGTTAGCCAGCTGTCCTAGTTGTTAGATATTTTTCCAGTTTTAGTTTGTATATATATATAGCTCACTGTATCTAGTTCCAATTCAGTTTTCTCAGATTACAGAAATGAGAAATCTGTCTTCTCAATTAGCTCTCTCTTAAACTTAATTTCAGTATGTTCTAGAATCCACCATTAATGGTGGTTCGCTGCTTCCATTCTGAGTTTTGACATGGTATCAGAGCCAGGGATCGATCAACCTTGCTTATCTCCGTCCTTCTCGTGAAGATTTCTCAGTTCTCAGCTCGTTTCAGGTTTACCTGTTTCTTTTCTTTTCAACTGTTCTTCAGCCCTCCTTTACTTCCCGACATATTCTCTTCTCCATTTCTGTTGATTGATTCTGCTGCATTACAATGGTAGAGGTCACTAATCTAGAAGTAACTAAGGGAATTGAAATAGGAAGTGTTTTATACCTACATCCATCAGATAATCCAGGTGCACCTCTTGTACCAGTCGTTTTCGATGGAATTGGTTATCGATCCTGGAAAAGAGGCATCATCAAATCTTTGTCAGTAAAGAATAAATTGGGTTTCATCAATGGAGATTCTAAGAAACCACTTTCTACAGACCCTGACTGTAAACAATGGGAGAGGTGTGATAATATGGTTACATCTTGGATCCTAAATTCTCTGAATAGAGAAATTGCTGATAGTGTAGCATACGTGGACAGTGCTTTAGAATTATGGACTGATTTGGAGGATCGTTATGATCAAACCAATGGTGCCAAGCTGTATCAAATTCAGAAAGAGATCAATGATCTCATTCAGGGAGTTCTGGATGTCACAGCTTATTACACCAAGATGAAGAAACTTTGGGAAGAATTGAGTAGTTTATGCATCAAAAACCACTGCAGTTGTGCATGTAGTTGTGGAGCAAAGGATGTCATGCACAAGGCTGAACAGGATAGACGATTGATTCAATTTCTAATGGGTCTTAATGAGGTTTACACAATAATCAGAGGTAGCATTTTGATGATGAATCCACTACCATCTGTGGCACAAGCTTTTGCCATATTGATACAGGAAGAAAAACAAAGAGAGTTTAAATCTCTTGCTGCTAGCTCTTCAGGGACTTCAGGATGCTCTTTAGCTGCTAATGTTTCAGGTACTTCAAAAGGTCAGAATTTCCAGACAAATTACTCATCTGGTTCTCCAAATCATAGAGGAAGACCATTCTGTGATCACTGCAAGAGACCAGGCCACATTAAGGAGAAGTGTTATCAGTTACATGGATATCCACAGAACAATAATCGATCTCAGAAATCTTAGTCTGATGGACAGCAAGGTTACAATCAATTCCAAAGACAACAACAATATGGGAATCCTAATTCCAATCAGTCATACAGAAACAATAACAAAGGGAAAGGTGTGGCAGCTAATTCTGTAGGGCTGTCATGTGATTCCACTATGGAACAAAGATGTGGCTCTGGGGTCAAATCACCAATCAGGACATTGGCATCTCAAAGGAGCAGTATGGACAACTTGCCTACCTACTTCAGCAATTTCAGGCAGAAAATTCAGGCAACATGCAGACAACAAATCCTGCTGTGAACTTTGCAGGTATCATTGCCTGCACTTCTTCTATAGTTTTTGACAAGCTTTCATGTGAATGTTATAAAGCCAAAACTAACTTGTGGATCCTAGACTCAGGTGCATCACACCATATGACATTTAACAAACTTCATCTCACCAATATTTTGCCATTACTTGAACCTATGTTAGTTAGACTACCTAATGGCTATAAGGTTAAGGTCACAAAGGTTGGAAATGTGCAACTAACTTCATAGATCATACTGCACAATGTCTTATTCATTCCCTCTTTTAAGTACAACTTGATTTCAATCAATTCCCTAGCTTTACATCTTAAATGTGTTGTTTCTTTCTCTAACACATCTTGTCTCTTGCAGGCCCCTTCACTGAAGAGGCCTCTGGAAATTGGTAAAGCTCATGATGGTCTATATCTTCTTTGCTCAGACTGTCTGCAAAAGAGCAAATATTCCACTTCATTCAAAAATCCTACTACATGTTTTTCACTTCATAGAACTGATAGGTTGCATTGTCAATGTACTTCTCATTCTTGTTTACCTAAAAACAATACTATTTCTGTTGATAGCAATGTTGTTACCACTGGTGATGATACAGACTTGTTGTGGCATTATAGACTTGGTCATGTTCCTTTTGTTAAAATGAAGAGTATATCCTCAATACCTGTGGTTTTCTCACATACACAGCCTTTCTTTTGCCCCATTTGTCCCATGGCAAGGCAGACTAGACTACCTTTTCAACAGAGCACTCATAATAGCACTGCTATTTTTGACTTAGTCCATGTTGATTTATGGGGGCCATACCAAACACCCACAGACGACAACTTTAGATTCTTTCTTACCCTGGTGGATGACTTCAGTAGGTCCACTTGGACACATCTACTCAGTCATAAAAGCAATGCCCTACATGTTATTAAAACCTTCACAACCATGGTTGAAAACCAATTCAAAACTACCATTAAAGTAGTTAGATCAGATAACGGACTTGAATTCACCAATAATGAGTCCATCCAATTCTTTCAGTCCAAAGGTATTGTTCACCAAAAGTCTTGTCCATACACACCTCAACAAAATGGTGTGGTGGAAAGAAAACATAAATACATTCTTGAAACAGCTAGGGCACTTCTTTTTCAGTCCAAATTCCCTACAAAATATTGGGGAGAATGCATTCTAACTGCTACCTATATTATTAATAGACTCCCTTCTGCACCTCTAAATAACCAATGTCCATATGAAGTGTTGTATGGGGTGAAGCCTTTTTACTCACACTTAAGAAGTTTTGGTTGTTTGTGCTACCTAACTATCCCTAAAACCCACAGATCCAAATTTGAACCTAGAGCATCTCCACATGTTTTTGTAGGGTATCCATTTGGTATGAAAGGATACAAGGTCATGAGTCTAGCCACTAAAAGGTTGTATGTCTCCAGAGATGTCATTTTTCATGAAACAATTTTCCCCTTTGCAATGACTAAAGATCCTACTTTCTTCCCTTCTTCTCCTTTCCATCCTCACTGTTTTAATGATCAGTCTGCATGTCCCACTTCTGGTTCATCATTTGATCCTACTGTCCAGAGTGATCATGAGATGTCAAGTGACACAAATCTTACTTTACCTCCTGACCCTTCTAGTCCACAACATCATCCTTCTCCTAGCAACACCTCAACAACACCTCTCCAACAAGTTCAACAACCTGATATAACAACCAGGAAGTCTCATAGGACTCACAAATTGCCCACATACTTGTCAGACTATGTTCATTCTATACCCGTTTCACCACCCACAGACAACCACACACCAACAACCCCTACCACATTAACTGCTTGTTTTTCCCTCAACCACCATATATCTCCTGCCGAATTGGATCCTAATAGTCAAGTTTTTGCTTTAAATATTACTCATGATTGTGAGCCATCTAGCTATGAAGAAGCTGCTCTTGATCCTGCCTGGCAAACAACCATGACTCAGGAATTTGCTGCTTTGCATGATAATAATACTTGGTCCCTTATTCCTTTGCCTATTGGTAAGAAAGCTATTGGTTGTAAATGGGTTTATAAAATCAAACACAAGGCAGATGGTAGTGTGGAAAGATACAAAGCAAGACTAGTGGTTAAAGGGTATACGCAGCACCTTGGCATAGACTATATAGAAACATTCTCACCAGTTGTTAAAATGACAACTGTAAGAACTTTGATTGCTGTTGCTGCAAAGAAACAGTGGAATATTTACCAGCTTGATGTTAATAATGCTTTTCTCCATGGAGATCTACATGAGGAAGTATACATGGATGTCCCTCCAGGTCTTGCTGTGACAGATACAGGGCTGGTTTGTAAGCTCAACAAGTCATTATATGGTCTGAAACAAGCAAGCAGACAGTGGTATGAAAAGTTGACTGCAGCTTTGAGTTCAAGGGGTTACACTCACTCACTATATGATTATTCATTGTTCTATAGGAAAAGGGGCTCTTCTACTGTTTTTCTAGGTGTATATGTAGATGATATTATACTTACAGGAACTGATTCTGAAGAAATTGTCAATCTTAAAAGTTTTCTCCATGACCAGTTCAAGATTAAAGACCTTGGGAGATTGCACTATTTCTTGGGTTTGGAAATATTATATAAGGATGATGGAGTCATTATATCTCAAAGAAAATTTGTGCATGACCTTCTCAAAGACTTCCATTGTGATAAACTAACTCCCATGGCTTCTCCCTTAGATCCTAATGTTAAGCTTAAGAATCATGAGGGCATACCATTAAGTGATCCTACCTTGTATAGAAAGTTGGTAGGAAAGCTGAATTTCCTCACTCATACCAGACTTGATATTGCCTATGGAGTTCAACATTTGAGCCAATATATGCAAGATCCCAGGGAACCTCATCTTCGAGCTGCTTTTCACATGTTGAGGTATCTCAAAAATGATCCCACATTGGGCATCTTCATGTCATCTTCTCCTGCTTTTGAAGTTCAAGCTTTTTGTGACTCCGACTGGGCATCATGCCTCGACTCTAGAAAATCTGTTAGTGGTTACATTGTCTTGCTGGGAAACAGTCCCATCAGCTGGAAATCTAAGAAACAAGAGACTATTTCATTGTCCTCTGCAGAAACTGAGTACAGATCATTACGAAAGGTTGTTGGAAAATTGGTTTGGCTACAGCGATTGTTCACTGAGTTAACTGTTCCTCCCATTAGTCCTTTTCCAATATATTGTGACAGTCAGGCTGCACTTCACATTGCCAAGAAAAGAATCCAGTTTTTCACGAAAGAACCAAACACATAGAGGTCGATTGCCATTTTGTTAGATCCAAGCTTCAAGAAGGTTTAATTTCATTGCATCACATCAGCACTGGTGATCAATTGGCCGACATTCTCACAAAGGCTCTCACGGGAATCAAACACTCTGCTATGATGGACAAGTTGGCTGTGTTCACCTCACCTCCAACTTGAGAGAGGGTGTTGAGATTAATAAGTTTATGCATAATTAGTTAGTTTAAACAGTGTTACTTTCACAGAATTAGTTAGTTAACAGCTTTTGTAGTTAGTTAGCTTTCTGTTAGCCAGCTGTCCTAGTTGTTAGATATTTTTCCAGTTTTAGTTTGTATATATATATAGCTCACTGTATCTAGTTCCAATTCAGTTTTCTCAGATTACAGAAATGAGAAATGTGTCTTCTCAATTAGCTCTCTCTTAAACTTGATTTCAGTATGTTCTAGAATCCACCATTAATGGTGGTTCGCTGCTTCCATTCTGAGTTTTGACAAAGAGAATAAAGTGTTTCTTAACAAAGGTGACTCGAACCTGAGACTTCTTGATTAAAGATGATAAGTAGTTACAACTCTATCACACCCTTTATTGGTATTAATGAACCATCATTATGATAACAAAATGTATGGGTTAGAAAATTAAGCACCCAAAGCGAGTTTTTTTATTAGTTTGATTAGGTCAAACGTTGACAAACCACAAAATCGAAGAAATTAATTTGAAAAAAAAAAGGAAAAGAAAAAGAGGAATTGCCCAACCGTTGTGCTAACAAAATCAAATGGAATTAAGTCGATAGTGATTCAACCAATAGTTATTATCTTAAAAAATATATTTTTTTATTAAAGAAAATTAAAATAAAAAAGAGATGTAACTTTCTGAAATAATAACTATTAGTTGAGAAATAAATGGAAGGTAATGTTCATATTGTTTCTTTTTAACTAACTAACATGCTATCTTTTTTACTCTAATCACATATACCCTCAGAAAAATCAAACTTAAATACAACTTAGACCGCAACTACTTCTGTACAAAAGGAGTATTATCACAACTAGTCTAATTTTTACTGTTTTGCCAATTTGGCATTCTCAAATGTCACGTGCCTTCCGGCCCTTATCTATTATAGCATTTTATGAAACATAGAAGTAATATATTCTCCAGACATATACTAAGGTCCATTATTATGGAAAAACTCTTAAAAGGCTGAAAAAAATTATCACCTTTGTCATTAAAGCTAAAAATGCTATGGTTGGTTCGCGTAAAAGATGGGTTGTATGAGTATGGAAAGGGTTTAAAGCATAGGCGGAGCCAAGTAAGGCTGAGGGATTTTTATCCAAACTTTTTTCGACGAAAAATTATATTATAATTTGTTTATGGTTAAAATTATTTTTTATGTATACACGATAGATGTTGAGCTCCTTTTAACTTCTTAAGTACGTAGTTTGTTTGTTTTTTCGTATTTTGAACTTTC